GTCTCAGGAAAATCCCTCAGGAGTTCCAGTCACATTCAAAATGTTTGGGTTTTCTTCGTTCATTCTGGTTCTTTTTTTTCTTGACTCACGTCTTGTCTTGCTCTTTTTCAATGCCGTGTCTGTTTGTGTCTCTCCTTCTCTGCCCCCGCTTTAAATGATTTCACAGCTATGACGGGGATGTCTGGGGAATTATGTCACTGGAGAGAGAGAGAGAGATCAAGGAACCAGTTCACCTTCCACCAAGACAACTGTAACCTCCATGGGAGAACAAGATGATCCGCTGGAATCAGTCCTCTCTATGGACTGATTCAACTAAGTTTTTGCACTAGCTGAAGCCAGTGCAAACACCACCCACCACCTCTGGCCACCTTGTAATGACAAGGTCAGCTCAAAACCCCACAATGACCAAAATTCTATAGAATTTCTCAGGTGCCCAGAAAAGAAGACAGAAAGGTGGAAGCCCCTTTCGCAGAGGAAGAAAACCTTTGAGACACTGGACGACAGATTTAAGCACAGTTCTATATATTTTTTATAATAAGTTTTATTAGTTTCCCATTACTGTACAATCCAATAACAGCCTCATTATAACAATGCCAAATTATAATACAATTACTAATACCAATCATTCAGATACCAAATTGTATAATTTAGGTGGCCCCCCACTTGCTAGAATTGATGGTTTGATGATATTACTTTATTTCCACGTTCCAAAATCTTATTAATTTAAATTACACTCCGGCAAAATAACAAATAACAAAATAACAATCCCTTATACAACAAATGCAATATTAACAACTTCTGTTTCTTCTTGTCCTTGTAAAATATCATATCTATCTTTTCCCGGTTGTTGCTGTTCTCCATGCATCAGGCGAAGCTAGTATCCCATTGTGGTTTCAGAAATTCTCCATTGCTCCGTCCCGATTTCAGCACAGTTCTAGATAAAATATCAGTTTCCTACCATTGCCCCCACCACTTCTGCCACTACTATATAGCACTATCTATGTACTTGCCATTTTGCAAAGAGCTGGTATGGCAGGTCTATACCCCAAGGAGATTAAAATATAAATTTAGATGCCATTTCAGGTGGAATTCAACATGGAGCTATTCAAAATGTTCTATCACTGCAAACATTTCATATGGAATGATCCCTCCTCTCATCTCCCTGCATGCTGTTCTGGGGGCTCCCCAACCACCTCCAAGTGCCAATTTTAGGGGTGCAGGGTGGAAGAGAGCGGGGAAAACCCCATTGTGCAAGTAGACATTCTTGCATGAGCTTCCATGGATTAGTTGAATCCTGCCCTAGTTCTTTACTTTCTTGTTTTATGTCATATTTTATATATCTAAAAGCAAAAAACATACGGATTTAACAGAAGCGATTGTCCTGTTTTCTCTTTTATTATTGTAATCCCTTCCAAAAGAAAACATTTTTAGATCAGTCCTGCCAGATATGTTGGTAATCAGCCTGAGCTTCTCTACATCTTCAGCAGTTGTGGTCTGCGCAAGACACATTCTTTTGTGTTATACCATCTGTACAGCATTAAAAAAGTATTTTAAAGTGATGCAGTCTTTGGCCAGCTGCTACAGAAGATTCTGTTTGCTTGGGTAAATATATACTTCCACATATCCTTCATGATGTTGCAGTTCAGATCCTTTCCCAAGACTGTTCTAAATGTTTGCACATCCTAACATTCAGTTTTTAACAGAAATATATTGTATTTAGAAAGCTGGGGATCACAATGCTATAAAGGCTTTTTCTGATTACGTCAACTCTCTCCATCTGCCTTTTCCTAGACACATACCGGTACAAAATATCTGATTTAAAAATCCTGAAATGAAACTGGTCTTATCTTCTTACATATAACCAAGCCTCCCCCCACCCCCATATCATTTGGTTGCAAATCCTATGTTCGCACTAATATTTTATGCATTGGCTAGATGACAGGCTTTTGCAAGAAACAGGAGTCAAGGATGTTCTATATGAGTGTGGATGTGGATTTATATCCCTTCATCATATATTCACATTTTATTTTTATATTAAAGGTTGATCTGGCCACCTGATATGGCAAGCTCGAATCTAAAGCCAGATATGCCTCTTGGAAAGGATGCTGAAGCCAGCGATTTGGGGAAACACCTACAATCTTATTGTCTGTTTAATCAAAATGTACTTTAGCAGGGGGTTGTGTTTGCTAAAGAGAGATTCTTCTGGCTGCTCTTGTCGAAGCTATTGATGGGGAAAAGGCAAAAGCAATCCTTAGGTCGCGCACTGGCCAAAGGTATATTTGGGAAGAGACAATGTGAAACTGGATTTTCCCCCAGAAGCTTGTTAAAATAATAAGTTAAGGGGTTGAGAACTCTTCCACTACATCCTTGAGTAAAGGTCAGCAGAAAACATTGTTCAGCCTTTCTGTTCCAGAATGTATTTCTTGCTTGTTATTTGTGAGTTAGTGCTCCTTGAGCTGAGGCTTTGTTTCACACAAGTGCACAAACGTATTTATTAAAAATGAAACCGAAAGCTAATAGTTGGTGTTCCAAACCAGGACATAAGCTGGCATTAGAAACATGGAAAGTTGTGGGGTGTCTTCCTTTTGCAGTGGGACTCCAGTTGAGCTTGATCTGAATCACTAAGTGTACTTCGACAAGAAGGGGTCCCTCTGGCCGTGAGTCAGGTAGCCTGAAGGATCCTGCACTCTGAGAACATGTGCCAGCCTTTCCTCTCTGAAAAGCACCATTTGATGCTCTGTCAAGCATCACTTTGGTTCTGCTATTTTGAGCTGCTCACATAAGCAGAAAAAAGGTACTTTCCCTTTTAACACTTCCTTGATCCCTTCCGCTTGTGAGCATGGAAGAAGAACAGAAGAACTGGATCAGACCAAGGGTCAACCTAGAGCACATCCACCCCACACACGTAAAGCACATCCAAGGCACATGACTCCCCCCCCCGGAAAGTCCTGGGAACTGTAGGTTGTTAAGGATGCTGGGAATTGTAGTTCTGGAGGGAAGGGGAAGTACAGTTTCTAGTATTTGGGGGGAAATAATGTGTTTTAAATGTGCATTGGATGTTCTTTAAATGTATGGTGTGGATTTGCTCTTAATCTAGCATTCGTATTTCCAAAAATAGCTCCATGGAATAATAATAATAATAATAATAATAATAATAATAATAATTAATAATTTATTATTTATACTCCACCCATCTGGCTGGGTTTCCCCAGCCACTCTGGGTGGCTTCCAACAGAACACTAAAATACAACAACCTATTAAACATTAAAAGCTTCCCTAAACAGGGCTGCCTTCAGATGTCTTCTAAAAGTCTGGTAGTTGTTCTTCTCTTTGACATCTGGTGGGAGGGCATTCCACAGGGCAGGCGCCACTACCGAGAAGGCCCTCTGCCTGGTTCCCTGTAACTTGGCTTCTCGCAGCGAGGGAACCACCAGAAGGCCCTTGGCACTGGACCTCAGTGTCCGGGCAGAACGATGGGGGAAGTGCACAAGAAGTTGACGGCCATTCCCTGGTAATCAGAGGTATATTGCCCTTGAACATGGAAGCTTCACTTAGCCACCAGTAGACTCTTCCTACCATTCACTGGCCTTTCAAAAAGCCATCTAATCTTTCACTGCATCTGCAGACAACCAGTTACATGGACTGATCCCAAGTTTCCCACTCTATCGCTGCTGCTTGTAATTTTTATCAAACTCTGCTGCCCTGCATCCCTCCCAGTCATGCCATCCCTCTAACCTAAAACGTCCCAGTTGCTTTGACTTTGCCTTGTAGGGAAGGTATTCAAATGTGACAGCGACTATGGAGCACAGAAGGGCAATTATTACTTGAAATGCTTGCCGTTTTCCCAGGGAATTGTAAAGCAGGGACGGAACATATAATTGAAGCTCTTTCCTTTCTGGGCCACAGGGAGGTTCTTTAAATGTGAAGCCAGATCATCAAGCTAATTTTTACAGAATAAGAGCCTGTCCTTAACCCAGCCTCAAAGTTGCATCTCACAGCTTAGGAGGATTAAAGTTATACAGCCTCACTCCTTCTACATTCAAGGTGTGGCTACAATGCTGCCAGAGTATCAGCCTGATCAGAGTTGATAATGATAATGATAATAATAATAATAAACAAATTTATTATTTATACCCCACCCATCTGGCTGGGCTTCCCCAGCCACTCTGGGCGGCTTCCAAAAAAAAAATTAAAATACTGTAATACATCAAACATTAAAAGCTTTACTAAACAGGGCTGCCTTCAGATGTCTTCTGAAAGTCTGGTAGTTGTTCTTCTCTTTGACATTTGGTGGGAGGGCATTCCACAGGGAGGGCGCCACTACCGAGAAGGCCCTCTGCCTGGTTCCCTGTAACTTGGCTTCTCGCAGCGAGGGAACTGCCAGAAGGCCCTCGGTGCTGGGCCTCAGTGTCTGGGTTGAATGATGGGGGTGGAGATGCTCCTTCAGGTATACTGGACCGAGGCCGTTTAGGGCTTTCAAGGTCAGCACCAACACTTTGAATTGTGCTTGGAAACATACTGTTGAATATGCAAAGTGTTGAAAGGAGAAACTCCTTTGTGTCTTTTGTTGCAAGCTCATCTGAGAGCCTCTTTGGTGGCAGGGGGTTGGACCAGCAGTTAACATCATCCTCTCTTTGGAGCCTCTCAGCTGGGTTTAGATGCTGTGCAACGTCTGGGGTGTTCCCTTTGGCTTGAAGTCACTGGTGGAAGATCGTGGCACTTCCATGGCCACAAATTTTGATAAGTGATGCATTGAACCAGTTATACCAGGGCTAAGGGGCCTGTGGGATGCTTGTGGTCCTAAATTTCATTTGGCCTGCAGAGATGGGGTGGCTGAGGGAAAGGGGACAAGAGAGAAAGGTATACAATTCTGCAAAGCTGCAACCTCCACCCACTTTTGACTTTGGCTCCCACCCACTAGCATTTATGGCCTCCTGTTGACTTTCCCCATAGAGCAGCAGCCCTTCAAAGGAATAATGTTTCCTAGCCTTGTTTGAATGGTACCAGTATATGGCTCAGTTGATTAGAGTGTGGTGCTGATAACACCAAGATTGCAGGTTCAATCCCTGTATGGGACAGCTGCAGTTTCCTGCATTGATGATCCTTAGGGCCCCTTCTACAATTCTATGATGCAACAAAGCCAAGCAGGTCTGAATCTGGTTGTTGTCTGGGTGGGAACCCTGTGTAAGCCACCTAATTAGTAACAACAATACTAATAATAAATTAATTAATCAATAAAACAATTAATTTCATGATTCTACTGGCTGCTGGGCTTCTTGCCAGTGAGCCACAGTTTGATGGGAAAGCTGCAGAATTGCTTGTGGAAAATCATTTTTCAATAAATAAATAAATAAATAAATAAAGGGTTTTTAGAAATGCAGTTAGTTCCCTCCTTGTTTAATAACAGTAATAAAATCATGGAAAGAAAATGGAATGGGCCTGAGATTTCACCATCACAACTCCTAGGAATACCTCAAGTCACTGAAAAGCAGAGAATTCCTCACATCTATTAGCTCCCTCTCCTTAATAGCCTTACCATTAATTAAATCATGCCTGAAGGTGTGAAACTCAAAGAAGCCTAGTCATCTGAATAAAACATGAAGCAAAGGAGCAAAATATTACTTTTCTGGTTAAATAACAATGGTAGAAGCCCCTCTCCACATCAAATTGCTGGAGTAGTGGTAAGGAAGTGCTTGTGCCACCAGTTACTGAGTCTTCTGTTGCAGTAGTGTGGGAGGTGCTGGGGGGGCTGTGCCCCCAGGTACACAGTCCCCCCCCCCAGGTACACAGTTTTTGAGCAGGCGTGAACCAGGTGCCCCCATGCAGACACCCCCGATGTAGCCCAGCCCAGTGCTCCTCTCCACCCACAAAAGGCTGCGTTGGCCTTCTGGGCTTCCCCCTGTTTGAGTGGACATGTGGCTCAACACAGCCCCTCTTTGCTGTGGTGGGGATGGGGTCACTGGCGGCATTGGTGGTGAGGGCTGGGCTGGCATCCTCCCACCTGGTGCATGCCCTCCCTGGGCACTGGCAACTGATGCTCACCACTGCTGCCTTGAGCTCCTTTGCAGATATAAATGCAATACATAAACAGATAATAGGACAAAGCATTATTTTTGAGCACATATTTAAATCAGGATAAGATCGGCTTCTTCTTCTTCTTCTTCTTCTTCTTCTTCTTCTTCTTCTTCTGCATCTCACATCCATCTTTGGATATATAGTTGTACCTTGGATCCCAAACGCCTTGGTACTTGTCCATTTTAGCTCCCAAACTCTGCAAACCTGGAAGTGAGTGTTCCGGTTTGTGAACATTCTTTGGAACCCGAACGTCTGAGAGACTTCCACGGCTTCCGATTGGCTGCATGAGCTTCCTGCAGCCAATCAGTAGCCACGCTTTGGTTTCAGAACGTTTTGGAAGTCGAACGGACTTCTGGAACGGATTCTGTTCGACTTCCAAGGTATGACTGTACTCCTCTTCAAATTCTCTACATTGTTTTCTGTTTGCATAGATGGCTGTCCCATTGGTCATTCAAAATTGTGGGGTCTCTCGGTATTCTGGCAACTCTTTGGGATTTTGGAGGACTTGTGCATATGAATGGATTAAAAGGGACTATTTGGTTCAACTGTAGCAAAGAAGAACCTTGAGTGATTTCTCACTCCAGATCTCTAAGGGCTGTAGTGAAAAGATGCATTGGCATTTATTGCGGAGGTAAGATCAGGCAAAATCATCACCTCTTGTTTGCCAAGTACAAAGGGTCATGCTTTTATCTTAAACATTCTGAAGGCTGTCCTGCAGCACACAATCCTTTTAGTCTAAGGTCACTATCTAAGGGCTTGATTGACGTCAGCAGAGAGAGAGAGAGGGAGAGAGAGAGAAACATCCTTTACATTAAGTGCCCTGGATCAGCTTCTGTTGAAAATGCCAGGATATTCAACTCCCAAGCCTCAAAGACTTCTGTTGACGACTGAAGTGAGCAAGTCTTATAGCAAGTTAACAAAAAGCTTCTGTGTGTACGTGATTGCTGGTGGCGTTACATCCTTCTGTGTATCCCCCATTCTGTTTTTTTTTTTCCTGAACTAACAGGGTCGTTCCTTTTTAACTCGAGCAGAAGAGCAGGAAATTCTTCCACTCTACCCTGGTATGACTCAGCTCTTCAAGGAACATCTCTGCAAATTGGGAGGAAGGGCGACATTTCTGTTCATGGTCTACACACACACTTGCAAATTGCTGGGTTTTAAACTATTTAGGTCTGTCCAGACTGATGGTTCCAATTCTGCAGACACTTTAAGTAGCAGCCTGGGCTGAGTCAAAGCATCTAAGGGAACAATCCTACATTTGTTTGTATGTTGAAGCATTCAACAGCAAAACTGCTGTTAGACCTAAAATTAGAAGGAGCTCGCTACTGTGAGAATGACTGCCTGCAGGAGATTTTAGAGTGGGGGCCTTCCAGAAAACTGGGCTGAGGCTTTATTTATTGAGGCACCCGCCCCCCCTGAAAACCAGAAATCTTGTAGCATTTAGAACCAAGCCACCTCTCCTGGCTTGGACTGTTATGTGAGCTTGAAATTGACCTCCCCCTTCTCCCCACTTACTTACCTAGCTCTAGCAGTGTTGGTGTTAGCAAGGAGAGAGGATAGGACAGATGTTTCTCTCCCCCCCTCCCACTTCCCCTCTTTTTCCTTGTTGTTTGGAACACTGTTGTGGCAGGGGAACTTGGAAATGTCATTTTCCCATGGTAACCTATCCATTCTTAAGGAAATCAGCCCTGAGTGCTCACTGGAAGGACAGATCCTGAAGCTGAGGCTCCAATACTTTGGCCACCTCATGAGGAAGCTCAGAAATCAAGAAGACAAGAACTTTAAGAAAGAATGGGGCAAATTTATAATTTATTTACGAAACCACTGTAAGCAAGTTTAAAACATTAGCCGGATTTTAATCACACTTGTAAAATAACGGAAAGTATGGATAATTTAGAGGAATAAAAATTTGGATAAGCATTGATATGCAGTTGTAAATATTATCACTAGGACCCATGGAAGGGATGGGGGGTTCAGGAGATTCGGAGTAATCTCAATATTTGGATTTGGAATTTTGTTGTTGTTACATGATATATATATATATATATAGCCAACCCTGTTCTTCTCTGTGCTCTTTGACTGAACCTGTCCTGTTGGACTGCCTGCTTGGCTTCTATCCTCGACTTGGCATCCTGGCTTTGAATCCACCCCACCCTCTATTTAGGTGGCTTGACCTTAATCTTCTGAAATGAAATTCTTAGGGAGCCACAAAAGTTATGCCCGAGGCCCTGATCTTGCAGGAGAGGCTGTGCACCTCAAATGCACAACACCAAACTAGGTCTGTATAATCTTTGGACAATAAAACCCCACCTAGTTTCTTAGGAACTCTGTCCGTGGTACTGAAAATGCCTTTCCAAGCATAGTTCCCATTCTCATGCTCCACCTTCACCTCGTCTGTACTCTATGTTGTTTTCTCCTAACACAACCTCCACCCATGTGACACTCCCCAGATGTTTTGCACTACAACTTCCATCAGCACCATCCAGAGCAGTGGCTAGGTTTGATGGGAACTGTAGTCCAGAACATCTGGACCGTTCCAGGTTGGCAAAGGCTGCCCTAGCATAATAATCTGAGCCCTCCTTTCTTCTTGATTCACGGCATCATTTTAAAGGGGGGACACCCCTTGAGCTTGATGGTGGTGTCAGCATCTGGGACTATTTTTCTTCTCAGGAGAGAAGAAGAAAGAAAGAGTTGGGAGGACAGGAGCTGTTTATCCAAAGTCTATGGCACATCCCAGCACAGCATGGAGGGGTTGTTTTAGGGGCCCTGCTGTCTTGTCTTCCCAGCGCATGGTGACTCAGCCTCATGACTAACCTTTTTGCTAAGAAACACCAACATGTAGTCAAATAAGGCAAAGTCAACTTTGGTCTTTTGCTACAGACCTGAAAGTTTCTGAGAAACATTTTAAGCCCACAAAAAGCCACTTGTGGACATGGGTTTGGAAATGACAAAACAGCTTGCCAATCACTTCTTTAGATTATAACTGACAGAATGCACAGTTACCTGCAGAGGGATGTACGTATCTGTGTTTCGGGACTGTGCCTGAGGTACCTTTATTGATAAGAGCAAAAAATAACTCAGAGCTCAGGCTGATCTCGACATCATAGGGCACATGACTTACTGGAACTGAGGCAGCTCAGGTTGCAGGTGGGCAGGAGCCGGTTGCATGCCTCATGTGAAAAATGCATTGTATGGAGAAATATGGCACGTTAGGGAGAAGGCTATGCCAGACACCTTTCCCAGATATGGTTCTCCATGGGCACTGAGATTGTGATGCTGTCCCCTTGGTGGGGAAGGGCTGTAGCTCAGTGATAAAGGTAAAAAGGTAAAGGACCCCTGGACGGTTAAGTCCAGTCAAAGGCGACTATGGGGTTGCAGTGCTCATCTCACTTTCAGGCGAGGGAGTTGGCGTTTGTCCACAGACAGCTTTCTGGGTCATGTGGCCAGCATGACTAAACCACTTCTGGCGCAACGGTACACCATGGCGAGTGCCAGAGTGCACGGAAATGCTGTTTACCTTCCTGCCACAGCGGTACCTATTTATCTACTTGCACTGGCGTACTTTCGAACTGCTAGGTTGGCAGGAGCTGGGACAGAGCAACGGGAGCTCAGTCCTTCGTGGGGATTTGAACTGCTGACCTTCCAATCGGCAAGCCCAAGAGGCTCAGTGGTTTAGACCACAGCGTCACCCGCTCAATGGAACATCAGCTTTGTATGCCCAGGTAGGGTTGAGAATGCCTCATGCCTGAAACCCTGGAAAGCTACTGGCAATTGGGGTAGACAATTCTGAGCTCAGTGGACCAATGGCTGCATTTGGTAGAAGGCAGATTGCTATGTTTGTGTGTATGTGTACGTGTGTGTGGTTCAAGCTTTTTATCTGCTGCCTAAAATTGTATGATCCCAGAAACTCTGTTCCATGAGATTTGCCACAATACAGTGGTACCTCAGGTTAATAACTTACTTCGTTCCAGAGGTCCTTTCTTAACCTGAAACTGTTCTTAAC